ATCTTGATCTGCTCTATCTTCAGGGAATAGTTGCAGAGGCAGCCCCTGTTATCTTCATGATGATGATCCACGCTTTATACGCTGAATATGTGCATTGCATTTATCGGTATATAGTATCAGATGGTAGTCTAACTGGAGATAGTGGCGTCGCATCACTCCCTAGTGTGCTCCTCTGCGGTACATATAAGAGTGTACGGAGTACACCGTATTCATAGCATCAACACCTATACCTATACTCATAATCTACGCTGTTACGGTGTTTGGTTACTGGATGTAAGCAAGGATGGAGTCAGTGGGTGCTAAAGAGCGGAGTTCTAGTCACATATCATCCTATACGTGGTTCTTGTGGCCATGACTCCCTGGTCCCAGTGATAAATATACACCGGTGAGGTGCACTTGGACGTCATGTGCGCTGTTGGTAAGGCCACCCATCAAAGATATGTGGCCATACCGTATTCGACATAAGGAGAATGGAGAATCACGTTTTTATCATGCCTGTACCTACGATCCAGGGGCCGAGGGTCAAACTCGGATATCCATGCGCCATTGGCAATGGACATCCAGGTTGCACCAAGGGATATGGCCATTGTTGCACATTAAATGCATGCCGTGGTACGCATGCTGGACTTCTCTGGATAGCATGAAATCAGGATGCTAGGAAATATGTAAAATTGCCAGTAGGTCTTGGGATTCTTGACTCTCCTGAAACCCAGCGCAAGAGAGATAGTCACCAGATGCACGAAGCATGCCGTCCGTTAGATATCGAGTCATGCAACCAAAAAGTATTGGGATGTTGAATACGATGGGTCAACATTACCCCGTATCATTCGCTCAAATTCATGTACATCAAACAATAAAGGGTCCTGGAGACTCCACAGGTGAAGAACAAAGTATACATGGATGCGAAAGGTAAAAACACCACTTGATCATGCACTCGTTATGAGGAGCCACCATTAGCAGCTGCAGCGGCTGCCTTTGCGAGCCTCTCCTCTACGCGCTCCTTATGTTGTCGATTCCTCAAATGAACCTCAAAATTGTCGACAGTCATTCCCGGACCGGGAGTATACAACTTACCCGGACAATCGTGACAGCGAATCCGAGGAAGATATTGATACTTCATTCGATGGCCCGGCTGGCTATTGGTGTTTGCTACTGGTAACATCGTCTCCGTATCGACTGCCGTGTAGCGCATCACACCTTCAAACGAGTCGTTCGGATGTGACCGATTCAAACGGGCAAGACCTGCCGATAGCCAGGCTGGAGGAGGAGGCTAGCAAGAGCAACGTTAGCAAAGCGACCAAACCGGTAAATCTGGACCATGGAGTACAACTAGGGTGACAAGTCGTCAACTGTAATTGCAAAGAAAGGAGGCACCTACCCCGGGGACGCCTGGCTGAGGGGGATGTGTAGCATCAACAGCCCCAAGCTGTTGTACAGGCCGCTGAGGAAGATGGCCAGCAGTATTCGGTACTTGAACTTGTGGTTTAGGCTGCGACGGGGGCGCCATGCTACTCGGTGTCGGTGTCCGTAATTGAGGTGTGCCGGTCTGAGATATTGGTTGGGCGGCTGGCGTAGAGGTAGAAACCAAAGGGTTAGGTAACGATTGTGGCCCGTTGGCGAGGAATTGGCGAAATTTATCTCGAGAGATTTTTAATTTCACAATGAGCTTCTCTTGTTCCTCGATGCTCTCTTCCCGGTAGTCTCGTCTTCTGGCGGAGACCCGAGGCTCGTGGTGAGGTTCAGGGGTGGCAGAATGAGCCAGACTGGCCCGCAGAGCGGCGTGAGCTGCGCTCGCGGCCCCTCTCATGCCTCTTGTGCGGGCTGTTCCTTGGGCCAGATGGGGACCGATAGCGGGAGAGCCCGTCATCGATGACTCGTCGCTGTCCGACTCATCGGACTCCTCACCACCGTCCCGCTGGCCAACTGCGGCGCGTCTGTGCCGACTTGATCCGGATCGTTTGAACACATTGCTCTCTTCAATCGACGGTGCGGTGTTGGGAATGACGGAGGATACAAGCATTGTACGAATGGTGCGCTGACGGTCTTTCAAATCCGGCAAGGCTGGGCCACCGCGGCGGTTGACGGATCGTTTCTGCCGACGTTGGTCTCTGGATATGGACACCTCGGTGCGTTCGAGCTCCGCTTCATTCAGCTCGTACAGATATGGTGTGAATTCCTTGGCAGCTTGGAAGGGCCGGAAAGAAGATGTTAATGGGGAGGGTAAGAATGCGGTCTTGAGGTCAGGATCGTCAATTGGACGACCATCAAATGGATGGGAGAGGATGTAAAGTGATTTGGTAAAGAGTTGCGACTGCTCACGTATCGAATGGGCGATTGCAGTGGTGAATTCGCCGGAAAGAGAGAGGTCATTGGTCATGCGGGCAGCAAATTCCTCAGGGGAGTTAGAGGGATCATTGATGTCCCATTCGAACTGATCAATGAGGGTATGTTGTCCGATGGTAATGTTGAGCTTGATAAGAATGCGCATTTCATCGTTCTTGTAAGCGCTGTAGGGTAGATTAGGATCGAGTGCATCCTCTTCCATATATATTTGGGGATAATAGTCCGCGAGTTGCTCTTGGACGCTTCGAGAGATCATCCGTACGAGAGGAGCACATGTCTCGAGCGGAAGGCCCAGATCTTCCACCAACTTCTCGGCGAACAGATCAGGAGAAATGACCCGGTCGTGGAGGTTCCACGTAAAGGTATCTCGAATCTTGATCTTCTCCCAATCGATGTCTAAGCGAATAGGGACCAAATCCTCCACCTGCTCACTCTGTATTTTCATGTCCTTCCGCGCAACTCGTAATTCCCTGGTCTTCCTATTTCCCGGCCGCCGCCGATGTGAGGGATATAACAATTGCGGATGCTGATTGCGCAAATCAGTCCTGGCATTCCCAAACCCTTCATAACCAACACCGTATAGGGCGGCCGGATTCCCATGAGTCTCGCGGCGTAAGGCCAGATAGTAGTCCCGTTCCGCACGCTTCTGTTGAAGCAACTCCTGACTGGGATTGTGCCAGGCTGTCAATGCTGAATGTTGGAATTCTCGTTCGACATACTGCTCGAGAAGTATTTTATCCGCCGGGGTTTCACGTACGCGGACAGGTAGACCTTCTGTAGGAGATGAAGTGTGAATAACGGAACCATCGCGAGATCGCTTTCTACTTGTTGCTGAACCGTTGGCGTTGCTCAACTGAGAGTTGGGCGACGTCTTGCCATTCAAGCTGCTATGACTAGCTTCGGCTGAGGATAGAGAGACACCCGAAGCTGCAAGGACAGCTTTCGCATTCTGTTTCCCTTCGGCAATGGCATCCACTCCATCCACTCCATTCGCTCCACGTTCTGTTGAGGAACCGGTCGCAATGTTTCCTTCACCCTCCGCGCTTGGGCCTGGCGCGCCCAGGTCATTTTGAATGCCATCAGCCTGGAAGTCGCCGAGAAATTGTCCAGGCTGCGAATGATCGGGGAAAGGCATGGCCGGAGATTTTATCTAATAGTTGTAGTTCTTCGTTCAAAAGCAGAAACACGGGTATCATTCGCAAGACGAGGTAACATTCCAATCAGATACTGAAAAGACGATGGTGGCACCCAAGAACCAATGTAGCCTACAGCAGCATCCTTAAGAGGAACCTGCGATGGAAAAGGCGAGTCAGTATGGGCAATTCAGGCCGATTACACGAACGTGATGCTATTCAAGGACGCGACGGTGCATTGAACGGAGACGCGATGCGCCCCATCAAACAGAAACAGCCACATGTCCTGAGATAGCCAAGAGATCGCCACAATCAGAGCCGTCACCCACGTAATCAGTGGTGGTGACTGGACGGACGACAAAGGTCGCGAAAGCGGCGGAGGGAAGCAAGCGCGCAAATAATGGGGTTAGGGAAAAACATACCAACCAAAGGAGGTAAATTAAGAGGATTATTAAAACAAAAATAAAATAATAATGATAGGAAGCTACCACCAGGCGCAGACACGCCAGACAGAGGGTTCCAGGGCAGGACGAGGCAAATGGATGGGTCTGCGTGCCGGTTCTGGGTCTTGCGCTTTGCCGCGAGAAAGTGAGAATAATCAGCGCTCGGAAGAAGGCGGCTAATCAGCTGATGGCGCACCGGGGAACGGGCAAGTATCAAAGACAATTTCAGCAATCTGGTTTGCTTGTCCTGCTTACACTGACCCCAGAAAAGTCGGTCGACTGATTTGTTTCTCCTTGCGTGGGGTTCTTTCTTCTCGCCGGCTGTCCGCTGAGTCCTCTGTTTCGCGCTATGACGGGGAAATAGGGGGGAGGAGAAGAGAAGAAGAAGAACAGACAACAAGAGGCGAGAGGAAAAAGCCAGCAGAAAACTGGGCGGGCAGAAAGGGCGTTACAAGTAATCCGTTCCCGTCATGGAGGGCCAGAGAGGGTAGGGGGAGGAGCTTCCGGGAACCAGCAAGCAGCACTGGGAGAGTCTGCCCTATGAGAGAAACTTTCGTACAACCTATTTGGGAACATCTTGAAGCCATCACGCATCTTTCTTCTGCTCTTCTCTTGGGATATCGCGAGGTTAGTTACAAATGTTACAGTATGGATCTTGAAAAACTGCCTTACAAACTTGCCGTCATGTATGGTCATAATACTGACCCACACACTAAACTATTCCCAGCTGTCATGTGATATTACTATGCCATTCCGGGTTAGCCATCTCAGACTATGCTGAACATGATACGCTAGTGTATCTATGGGTATCTCATTCTCAGTATCAATTCGCTTCCACCAAAGTTACTATGGTTAATCCAGGACCTCGAGCGCGAGTTTATTCATCCATGGATGCCCATCCAGAGCATGAACATCATATGTTCTGGCTAAACAAACAAAAAGCTCATGCCCGTGGCATTAGCAAAGGTTAATCGCGGAACGATATCACCATTGGACCTTGTCCCGTGCCTGCAAATCTCAGAATACTTCTCGGTGGCTTCCAGTTCCAGCCCTTGAAGACCGCAAGGCAAGCAGATCCAGCTCAGTGGTACAAGGTGACGTCGGCAACGACGGCCCTATGATCTGACAGATACACGCCAGAATCGAACCGGTTCGCCAACACGGCGTATCCGTTGACCTTCCAGGAACCAAGTTTGTTCTTCCCAGGTCCCAGCAGGATATAATCAATGCGCGTGGGATCCTGCCCCTCAAACCCGAACCCTGTCCATGTATAATAATCCCCGTAGTGCTGACTAGGTTCCACAACCTTTGCCGTGTCGACCAAGGAGGATTCCGACCCTGTCAAGACATTATAGGCCTCCTGCGTCTCTTAACTGTTGAAATCACCAGCAAGAAAAACCCCTGCGATGGAGTCCCCAAATTCGCCGCTTCTGTACTCATCGATCTTCTGCAGAATGATTTTGGCAGCCTCGAAGCGTGACCGAGATCCCTGGTCGTCTAGATGAGTATTCATCGCAAGGACGGTATGGCGAGTCATATTGTGCGTGAAGACACCGATGGTCTAGTATGGCGTCAGCTCAATGAAGAGACTTCCATCACGCGCCTTAGAGTCTTACCAGAATCCGTGTAGACGCCGCATCCCAGCCCTTGGATGGTTTGTTCGGCGTTTCCGACAACCAGACACTTTCCCAGTGATGAAGCTGCCAGACCGACGGTTGATAGAAGATGGCCGAATATTCTCCTGCTTTGTGACCGTCTCTACCGACTCCGATGTATTCCCATTGTTGTGTCTCAGAGCCGCTTGTGGGAACAGTAGAAGAATGTTGGTTCAGTCCGGATAGAACATCGACCAGTTGATTATGGAGCACTTCTTGTAGGCAGATGAATGCATCCTGATTGCGGGTATTGAAAAGCAGTTCATTCAAGAGAGGCTGCTTGCGATCATCCCATAGCAGCTCACCCTTGAATGGGGAACCGGTTGCATATCGGATATTGTGTGTTAGTATGCGTAGTGGCAGTTCGGCAGTTGTCTTCATGACGAAAAGCTCAATTTGAGGTGGATAGACTTGTGCGATTGCACCCAGATGATCCCTATGTGCAGTCAGAATGTATCCGAGACTGGATGAGGGTGGGATGGGAGCTGATGAGGAGAAACTTGACACAGGAGCCTATGATTGGCCAAGGAAACGTTTTTCTCCTCATTTGGATGTTGTGCCTCCAGGCAATGCATTGTTTTGGCACTAAGGCACTGATGATGTCTTCCGAATCATGGGTTTCATTTCTTGCTTCTATTGTCTTGTACCCGATCATCTCGAGTTCAACCCGGCTAATTAGTCCATCGAAAGCCTTGTTCTAGTTGACTTTTCTCTGAAGAGATCAGCAGCTAAACTCTATGGAAGATGTGTGACATTTGTTCCTTATCAAAAGGCAGTACAACTCTCGAGCAACACAGTAAGAAGAGAAGAGATTTTCAGATCTTGCTGGTCCTCGGTGACGTTGTTTGTTATAATAATAATTGGTATAGACTGGCGCAAAATCACTGGAACGAACCAAGTCATCATTCAGGGAGAAAACTTGGCTCGCGTGAAGCGTTTTGAACGTATCAGATGCCGAGTTTCAGGCACAACCTCCTCGATATCTCTGTGAACAACATTGCTACCGGGCGTTATGGTGCTCAGAGATGAGAAAGCACCTTATTCTAAAGCAGCAGTGTCATCTTTGTGCAAGAACAAGCATAGTGCACAGGTTCAACCTCACATCTTACTTTCCTTGCAGTAGCTTTTTTTCTGAGCTCTACGTGGTCACCAATTTCATCAGATACTAGGTTGCTTATGCTGCATTTAGTTCATCAGTACCTGCTCTTGTATGTTGGCGCTGACCCTGATGACCTATGACGTATATATATATCAAAAAGGGCAGTCATGCTACAGTATATTTTCGATAAGAATAATGCGGAACAATTACCAGATACTTCGAAGAGAATGGAACAATTAAAAGCATACCTAGCACTCTGACAGCGTATGATCAGATTTCTTTCGTCATGGCCTTCATCGAGCCACCTAGCTGTCAGTCTCTGCTGGAATTGCAAGGACCTAAGCTCCTCAAGCTCTTGTCAGCTTCTTCAGGTGACAAGAATAGTTTACCGTACTGTGTATACACAATTACCCCGTTTTAACAACACTAAACCCAGATAGGCCAAATTTACACCGTCCACTGCCCACAAGCCCTACTTCGACCGTTCGACGACGTAACCAGAAAAAGCCCCGCCAGCCCGTAATGAACGATGCGTAGTGCACACGACTCGATCGAAAGTTACCAGCTCAAAAGTAGCCCAATTCCTCTCTTCCTCCTCTTACTACTCTTGTAGCGTGCTGAGACGACGGTTTTAACCAAGAACTTCTTGATTGTCGCTAGCCTCGCATCAGTGCGAGGACATATCAAATAATTCACAATGGCTGAGAACCAGGCTCCAGAGGTTGGTAAGTGTTAACCGCTCTGATATTTTGACCCCTCCTCTTGCGCCCATTTTGCAAAGCTCCGACATTATTGTGTGGGTTTACCGCCGCCCTCATCGTCATCGCGCAAAGTGGAAGGAGTCGAGCAGGTCGAACTAGCAGCTACATAGCTCTAGCAGTCGATATGACCACCATACTGGGTCCTTTGTGACTTCTACCGGATTTACCTGTATTTTTTCACCCGCAAGAGCTGACGATTGCGTTGCTTCTGGCCAATTTTAGACTACACCCTCAACAACCCCGACACATTGACCAAGTACAAGACTGCCGCGCAGATCTCTCACAAGGTTCTTGAGGCCGTTTCAGGTGCGTCTGCCTAAGCTATTGTGTCATAGATTGTTCGATGTCTAATACCGGTCTACAGCATTGTGCTTTGAGGGAAGCAAGATTGTTGAAATCTGCCAGAAGGGTGATGAGCTCCTCGAGGAGGAGCTCGCCAAGGTCTACAAGGGCAAGAAGATCACCAAGGGTATGTCACTACCATGATCGCCAGGTTCTGTTTCCTGCATCGAGGCTTGCGTGCGATGTTGACATGAGGTTCTTCACGAAAAAGGTATCGGCCACCCGACAACTGTGTCCCCAAGCTCCTATGTGACGCCGTACACCCCCCTGGTGTCGGACGCTCAAGAGGCTGAGACCACACTCAAAGCCGGCGAGATCATTAAGATCCAACTCGGCGCTCAGATCGATGGATTTGGTACCATTGTCTGCGACATGATCGTCGTTGCCGACAAGGAATCGCCCAAGGATGTTGTGACTGGTCGCGAGGCTGACCTCATCCACGCCACTTACTACGCAAACGAGCTTCTGTTGAGACTCATGGTGCCCCCAGGTCTTCTGGCTAGCGGTACCGAGGAAGAGAAGAAGAAGGCCGCTGCCGAGAAGGCCCCAACTCAGAGCCAGATCTCCGCCCTCATCGAGAGGGTCGCCAAGGCTTACGACTGCAATGTGGTTGAGAACACCACCAGCTGGCTGTTTGAGCGCAACGAGATCGAGGGTGGGAAGAAGATCATCCTTTCCCCCGGCTCGGGTGTGAAGGGCGAAGGTGTTCCCGACGTTGGCGAAGTCTGGGGTGTTGAAGTTGGTCTCTCCCTTGGTTCTGGAAAAGTCAAGACCCTGCCTCACCGCGCTACCTTGCATCGCCGTACCACAACTACCTACATCCTTAAGAGACCCAGCTCCAGACAGACTCTGTCCGAGATCGTCAAGAAGTTTGGCACATTCCCCTTCAGCTTGCGACAGCTGGAGGATGAGAAGTCTGCCAAGGTTGGTGTTGTGGAGTGTGTCCGTGGCGGTGTCTTGAGACAGTACGAGCCCGCTGGTGATGCTGATAACGCTCCTGTTTCCCGTCTGTTGACGACTATTGGTATGTTCATCACTTGTCCAACGCAATATCTCCGCTTTCGCTAACGAGAATCGTAGCCATCACGAAGAACGGCATTACCAGATTGGCGGCGCCCCACCCTCCTGACCTGTCTAAATTCCAGACGGATAAGAAGATCGAGGATGAGGAGATCCTGAAGATTCTGGAGCGTCCTTTGGCCAGAAACACTGGCAATAAGAACAAGAAGAAGAAGAAGCCCGCTCAGGATTCCAAGGACGAGGAGTAGACGAATCACTCAAAAGAGATTCGACTTCTTCAACTCCTAATCGCATCCTCATACAACCAAAGTTCTTCCTTTCTGCCGGCTTCAAAAGGGAGGACTGCAGCAGGAGGCATGAAGAGTGCCTCAAAAAGACAGTCGAGAAGGAGCTCGGAGGGTGTACTGGCCAGTGGGGTGTGATGGGCCAGTGGCCCGGCCGAATATGGATGCAGAGCAGCAATGTGAGATCAATGTTGCCCATCAGGCTCTTTACAATTTCTGTCCCGTAATCACTTGAAAATGGAAAAAAAAAAAACAGTATACGAGCTGGGTATATATCAAATGAACTGTCATTGCACCTCATTCTCCGAAGTCGTTTGTCTCTTGTAGCCGGCATATTCCGGAGATTCCGGCAAGAGCTTCGACATGGCAATTCCTGTCTCTCCTTGCAATCCTGCATATGGAGTTTATATTCTAAGGTTTCGTCTTCGTAAAAGTGAGTACGTGCTCGGTGATGGTGTGAAATAAACCTTTGTCTTGGTTTTGACCATGTACAAGCTCATGAAGCTGATGAACTTTGAAGGAATAAGCCACTTCAAAAGCTGAGGATTTTCAGCCTTGTTATTTCAGGCCACAGTACATGATCTCTAAAGGTACAGATGAACAACGAACCAACACCTACAATCTTATGGTCTATACTGCTCCAGGGCAGTTGTCACCTCTCTCTGCTGACAGTTGCCACCGTCCTCATAGCATTTCATCTCAGGGAACACTGCTCTCTTCTTCACACCCTAATAAGAAGATATTCGTTTAGTAGTAGCACTCGCATAGTATTGATTTCTTGCAAGAAAGGGATCTACTGTCAGTATTCTGTAGCCTCAAGAGCCAGGATAAAGGCGTTCAGATCAACTGTCCCCTCGCTGAGGCGAAACGTCCTGCAACACATCAATTAATTCAACTTTTGTACTTGAGAAAGGAATGCCTCCCTAGTAGTTAGGTGAGTAAATCGTTGCATGTTCGTAGAGCTCTTTACTACTGAGAGGGTGGTTGGCAGTGGGTGGGCCAGTGTCGTTGGATGGGCCGCTCTTCTCTCTTCGAATCCTCCTCCATCCCCTTCCCATTCTCCTATTCCATAATCCATATTTCCCACGTACCCCCCGAGAGACCATTCACTCTGTCTCTACGGTGGCAAGAAGCTTGGGTATCAAGGTGCATTTACTGTTTTCCTTGATTTGGCAGCGGGTGACGCTGGTTTCGCGCTTCTCCCCACCTCTCGCGTCCTTGACATTCACTGTCTCGAGATCGCTTGCAGCCTCTGCACTTTTCCCACAACCTCTCCTCCAAATTTATTTCTTCTTTCCTCATCTTCTCATTCTCTGTCCGAATCCCCTCTGGATTGTACAACTGCTCGAAGATCGAATCTTTTCATCAACACCTTCGTTCGACATACAGAGCGTACCATCTTTATCATCAAATCTCTTCTCTCATCTACCTCACCTGGAAGCATCGAAGGACTCAAGAGTCGTGTCTCTCGCTCCAGGTCTCTGCCTTCGGGTATTTCCTCTTGTAACACATTGTCAAGAAGCTTGCTGCTTCTAGCAGTGAATCACGAGCCCTCTCCTTTTTCTCATACCTTTTGCTTGAACATCTCTCTCTCTTTCATATCTCGTCCACTTTCTTACTTTCATCGTTTCCAGCTGCTACACACCGTTTGATTTCTCTGACCAACTTGAACTCACTGTTCGAGGTCGGAGAGCCGAGAGGAAGCAAGCTGCAGACGTCCCAAGGACGATCAGATTTGCTCTTTAATCATCTCTTTCCTCTCTCTCAGCCAACAGTCATCCTCGTTGATTTGACTACAAGACTCCTGCTTCTCGACCATATTTAACTGGTCGTTGAACCTCACTGTCTGGTTATTGATTACCAAGTGCAGATCGAGCTTGTTTTCGCAACTTCTTCAACAGTTTCATCTGTGGTTGCAACTCTTACATCCTCTGTGTTGTTCTTTTTCACACACCCTACTAGCCACTTTGCATCTTTCAAGCCATCACTGTAGCACTGTGATAAGACCTATCGTGTTCTCTGTGATCCTGAAACGAGAAAGCAGCAAGCTTTCGTTGCGCCCAAAGGACGCTCCATTTTTCAATCCCTCTCGTCTCTTTCTTTGCCATCATCAACCCTCATAGTTGCCTTTTCCCTGCCATCATCGTTCTTCTCACGTTGATTTAAGCCTTGAGAATTGTTCCCGGAAGCACTGAGAGATTGTCTATCTTGAAGCCTATCAAGAACGTCTTGTCTCAAATTTCATCACGCTCTTTGTGCTCTGCGCTTTGCTACGAGGCACAATTCAAGACGCGTTCCACTTTAAGCCAAAAAGGGAGCCGAAAGCCCTTGTTGCTTTATAGCGAGGAACTTACAGAGGCACCATATTGTGTCTGATTTCTGCTTAGGTGAGTCGCTCTGCTCTTGGATTCTCTACAGTTTGACTCCCATCTCTGCACCGACCCTTTTCTTCAAAACCCCCCTCCTCCCTCAACGCATGCGTCGGCTTCCCAGAGCTTGCGGACTTTGATAAGTTCTCTCTCTCTCTCTCTCTCTTTTCTTCCCCAAGTCTTACCTTGAACTTTTTTGTCGTTTGGTTTTCTATGCATACTCTTCTCCACTAGAAAGCTTCTGGGACGCCCTGCTGACAACACGAAAGACATCTGCTCGACAGGCCCATATCGACTTGGCAATCGAAATCAAGTAACTACAGTAGTGAGATTCTTTCGACCAGAAAGCATCTTATATTTCACCTTGACATATCTGCCTAAGAGAGCTATTAGCGCCCCTGGAGAGGGAATTCAGAGAAACGCGAGCATTATCAGGTAAGCACTTTCCCTCGGAATCAAGAAGCTGAGCATTCATGATTTAAAACGCATTCAAGCACCCGAATCTACCGGACCTAACTTATAAATTCCTAGATTTCGGTGTGGCAGATTTCGTGGTTGTAGCGGCGAACGCCCCTTAGGTGTGATTATTGGGGAACTTTGTCCCTCGAAAACTCCCGTCGCTTTCAACTCCGCAATATTTCCTTCCATCAACCCGCAGACAGCGCGCGGGCTGGCCACGCTCCCAAACAGCAACGCTGGGCACGCTTGCTGTTTGTCTCGGGTCATAGTCGATCAGTAAGTTTGCATACATTACCCATTGGTATGCGGTTCTTGTATATTCATGCGAGCTAACTTTTCGATTGTCAGGCGCCGCAGCTTTCAAGCCCTGCGGTACAATAATGGCTCCGACTCTCCGCTCAGCATCCCGTCCCCTGTCCAATTCGCGCCAGTCAACTCCGCTAGATGCGCCTGGGTCTAATAAACGTTCTTCATCATTTACTGAACCTGCAAGACCGCCAAAACGTCGACGCACGGGACGGAACGCTCGAGTCGCTACCGAGCCTCCTCAAGACAACCTGGCCAACAACGCGGAGGATATTTCGAAAAGTGCGGCGAACTCGGGCCCTGGTTTGGAATTCCCTGGAGATCAACCGGCCTGGGTCGAACCCCCTCTGAGAAGCCCTGTCCCGAGTTACGCGGACACGCCATGGTCCGCAGTCTCGAACGCGGCGAACCCCATTTTGGCGACCATGCGTCCTCTCGGTTCCATGCCAACTGCTACGGACCTGCGCAAAGCAGGCCTGAAGCCCGCAAAGCCTGCGAAACCCGTTAAACCAATCACGTCTTTGAGCAAGGAACTCCTCGCGTTGCAAAACGACATGTCGCAGACCGAGGACCCTATTTCAACCCCAGCATCGCAGAACCCGCCAACACCAGCGTCGCAGAGCGAAACTCCCAACGTGTCACAGAGCGAAGTTCTCCAGCCGTCCCAGAACATAAATTTGCAGGTGTTGCCGAACGGAGGGATTGATGCGCAGACGCCGCAGGAATCCGCGACAGCGGCGGAAAAAACCCAGTCCGAAAATTCTAAACCCTGCTCATACGAAGAGATTGACGCATTGTTGTCACTTCCCATCTGCGATTCGGTGAAGTTGGATTTAGAGCAAACTAAATATGCCATGAAGGTGACATTGCAAATGGCCGCAGACACGGATAATACCAAGGTCGTCAAAAGTCTATTCAGTATTTGGACAAAGGCTACTCAGGACCCGATGGTCATGTCCGTGATTCATGGGATGTGCAAAAAGGAAGTTGGAAACTGGAATGCGAATGCCTTTCATGACCTGATACGCGCTGCTTTGCGAGAGCTGCGGAAGGAAGACGCAACGGATGTTCCCACTGCGGCTGCACCGCTTGATATGACTCGAACCCAATCTGCCACCACTGCTACTTCGTCGTCGTCCGCCCTGTCGCCCGAGGCTCAAACATCTGCTCCGACCACAGTGCCAACTCCCGTCATGGTGACGGCGGCTGCAGGTCGCTCGAAATTGCGTGCTAAAGGCAAGCAAGCGAAGGCCGCTGCCACAAAAGCAGCCAATAAAGATAAATCAAAACAGACTCGCCAGTCCGCTTTTCCCTCGAGTGATGCACGCAAGCGGGCACTGGAAGATGACCCGGAGTTCTCTGAAGAGGCCATCCGTGCCAAACGGCAGCGCCTACAACAGCCTCTCCCCGATATTGTTCCTGAAGAAAGTGGCGTTCGCTCTACTCTGTCCCATGAGCAGTCTGGAAATGCTTTGTCGCCTTTATTCCCACCCATTAGCGTAGTTCACACCGCACCTGAAGCGCCCTTGTTGAATGGTAGGGAACGATCAGAGTCTCCCGAAAGCAGTGGTGCTGAGGATAACCGGCGCCTGACCCCTACCTTCAGGTACGACTTTCTTTTCGCATTCTTGCATCGTTTGGTATGATGAATAAAGCTGATTTACTTGTAGCAGGGAAGATTCATTGGACAACAGCGATCTCTGTCGAGAATGCGGTGGCCGAGGACAGTTGCTCTGTTGCGACGGCTGCGTGAATTCGTTCCATTTTTCATGCCTCGACCCCCCCTTGGATCCTGCCAATCCTCCGGAGGGAGATTGGTTCTGTCCAAAATGCTCCGTCTCGCGGCCCATCCGTAAGATGGTGGATAAGCTTGATCGACTTGGGAACAAGGAGTTTATGCTACCCGCCAGTATCCGGAATCACTTCGCTGGAGTCAAAACTGGACCCCGACCTGAAGATAAAAACGATCGTACCCGGTACACCGAAAGTTCTTACAATCTTTATAACGGCGTCGGACGAGGAGTATGCAGTGGTTTTTACGATGATCCCAACCTGCGCAAGATCAGGGACTCGGATGGAAATCTCATCATCTGTCACGCTTGCGGTCGCCCAAGCGATGGAGATAAACCTATTCTTCAATGTGACTTCTGTATTTTGAATTGGCATATGGATTGTTTGGACCCTCCCATGGCCAAACCCCCTCAACAGGACTCGAAGTTCGATAAACGCTGGCGTTGCCCGATGCACGTCGAACACGAGTTGTGGCACTATGTTTGGAACGATGAAGGGGCCTATGACGCGCGAAAGATCCGTCGACCTGCGCGACCACGGATGATTGACATTGAAATTCTCCCTACCGAAGAGGAATCAGAACGGATTGAGAATGAACAAGATGTAGGAGGAGGCATCCTTTACCGCGTCTCCGAAAAGGGGGTAGAAGCAGCCTTCCTCGCGAAAGTCAAACGGTCAGTCATCCTACTAGCTCTTTATCTAGTATCCCATTCTGAGCTTGACTGACTATCTGGGCAGGGAAAATGCCGAATTTGAGTACAACAAGCAGCTGGCAGATAAGTACTTTGAAGAAGCTAGAGCAAAGCGCGATGAACTTCACGCACGAGCTCTCGAATTCTATGCCTCACAGCGACCTGCTCCTTTGCCGGATGCCGCAGAAGCGATTGACAACTCCCGATCAGCAGCCGATCGCGAAGCTGCGGCGAATCTTCTCGACTTCGCCAATTCGAATCAGACAAAATCTACAGATGACAACGATCGGATTACTTTCCTCATCGACGCGTTGCGAGCCCAGGCACCTAATGATCTCCCCGAAGCACATACTGAAATCGAATCTCTGCGTAACCTGCAGCAGCTGATTGAAAGGCGTATTCAAGCATTGACTCAGACGGAGCTTGAAGTTGCGAGCCCAGGCGCCTAATGATCTCCCCGAAGCACATACTGAAATCGAATCTCTGCGTAACATGCAGCAGCTGATTAAAAGACGCATTCAAGCGTTGACTGCTCAGACGGAGTTTGAAGCTACTAGTGCACGGGTCTCTTAAGCTGCTAGTCCACCCATTCCGGATTCTGCGATCGACCACGTCGGGCAAGACAACCCCTGTCTAACCTAGGCTCTTTCCCTCTTCTAATTTCATTCAACAAGGCGCAGAGTGATTGTTCTTTTTTGGCTTGAAAAAAGGGGCTTTTCACTGTTTCTGGGCGTCGGGATATGCATATCCATTTTGCATCAAGGTTCTTGGGTTCCTCAACTGGCGTTGGAGCATACAGTGCATCTCATTATTGAGCGTGTTTACTCTTGTTCTTGTGCCCTGTTAGGCACATACTTTTTTCTTTTTCTTTTTCTTTTTCTTTTTCTTTTTCTTTTTCCTTTTCTTTTTCTTTTTTTCTTTTTTTGCAATTTCTTGTTGTTTCCCGGGGCTGGACCAATTGGCAGCCAGGCTTTCCAGAGGTAGCCGGACCTCTGAGGTGCTCGTTTCCCCCGTTCCGAATCCGCCACATGGCGTGGTTCGCGAACGTTGATGGGAAAGACACCGAAGTCTTCCGGCTACCTCTGGATTGCCCAGCTGCCAATACTGGGCCAGCCCCCGGTTTGCCATGCGCAATTGTACGGAGTAATTAACGTCGTTATGATCTTTGTTTTATCCGTTGGCCGCTGGACCTCCCACCCCTCACCTAGGGGGTGGTCGAACGGGCCAGTGCGCCCGAGTCTCATGTACGATAGATTTCTCACTAGATTTTCAGTGATCTGCCGGTATGGATGGCGTTGATTTTGATCTTATGATCGAACCGAATTGAATCGAGTCTTTACGATCCCGTTTCGAGCAGGCATATCGATCGCATGTACACAATTGAACAAGCAGGTCACTCCCGAACACGTCAAATACGCTTCAATTTAATATACAAAATATCTGGAACCGTTGAGTAAATGCAGAACGAAATTCTCATGCAAGACACGCCGAAATTGCATACTAAGCGTACAAGGCTCGATCAAACCCAAACCTGCTGATTTATGGTCGCGTGCACAGTATTCATGTTGAAAGTCAGATGAGAAAACCGAAGAGGTACTAGCCAAAGAAAATGGGTCATGTTTGTTTCGCCATGTCATCGTGAAGAGCAGAAGGTTTAGTACAAAAGCAAATCAGACTCTCCGTAACTCGGGTAGTTGAGACGCTCAAAGGAACTTCTTGGGCATGTTCGCACGGCGACGCTTGTAGATGATGTATGAGCCGGCAAGGAGCAGTTGCACGGCGATGATGAGACCTATGAAGAAGCCCATGCGAGGAGTTGAGGCGGTAATGACTGTTAACGCAAATCAGCTGGCGAAGTCCCACACAGATGGGCTCTGCATCTACGAAGGGATACACATCGAATACATACCGTTGAGAAGCGTGCCTTGCAGATTCTCTGCCAGGCTCATGTGCGAGGACCTGAGGGTCTCGTGCAGCTGATTAAAGCGGTCGCGGTAGTCCTTGCCTTCCAAGTCACGCTGAAGGTTCTGCAGCAACTGCTCGATCTTCTGCAATCGGGCATCGAGATTGGCCACCTGATCCTTGGTAGCCATCTTCTGAAGAAGCTCTACATGGCGATTTTCCGTTTTGGTGGACTGGCTGCTGACGTCGCGGGCAATGCTGTTAGTGGCGTCGTTGAGACTTTGAATACGGTTGCTGAGATCAACGAGTTGGTCAGAGTTGACTGAGCGAGTGTCGACCGGACGAGACTGTCCTTGATTGACGATCGGCTGTTGGTTGGCTTGCTGCTGAGCAGGAGGTGCTGCATTTGTCCCGGAAGGGCTAGACTGCACGACGAACTTGAAGATCTCGAAGGAGTCAGGGTTCTCAGGCGTGGCTGCCGTCAGACCGAAGTTGTTACCAGCAGGAAGGGCAACCTGCACACAGTTAGAACACCAAAATGGACGGCAGGGGAGTCCGAAGTACCTTGTTTGTTGAGAAGCAAAGCTTATCATCCACGGTGACTTCCAAAACAGAATTGGTGTGCTTCAGGCGCACGATAGAGGGACGGCCGAGGTTTCTGTAAGCATAATCGCAGTGTCCAAAAGCCAAACTGTCAACGCTTCTATGGCTCTTGTAATCTGTCGTTCCGTCATTGAGGAAGCCCCGAATGCTTCCACCCTAAACTGAAGTTAGTGTTACAGAAGACCGTTTCAAGATGAGGCTCGCGTACTCTTCCCCCATGTGTATCAATGACAAGTGCAAAACCGTCGAACTGGCCGGCAGTGTAGATGCTAGAGGAGCCAATCTTCTCTCGTCCACCTTTCACATACCATAACTGGAGATTGCCACCTCCTCTCTCAACACCAGTGGCTCGAAACTGAAATTCAGCTGACCATTCTGGCTGAGATAGGCTATAGCTTCATCAGCCGCCAGTACACGAAGGAGCGGGCAGAATATTTGAGAGAGGGGTTGTGCTTACGGGGTCAGTGACCAGGCATAACCTCTTGTGTTTCCTGGGTAGGGGGGAGTGAGAATGAGCTTGTTGGAAAGCTAGATCTGATCAGCTTTTCTGAGTCGACAAAAGGGCACACAATGGGCGGGAAAGAGCGTACAATCTGAGGTGTATGACCCTCTCCCCCAACCTGCCAACCAGGGATGGAATCTCTGTCCGGCGATATACTAAGAAATCTGTTAGAATAGATGTGATACGTGCGTAGAGGGAGGGGCACGTACGTTTGACCATAGCCAAAGCTAGAGCTTTCTATCACAGATTGCGCTGTAGCAGCAGCGATGAGAAATGACAAGGAAGCTAAGCTCCTCATTGTGATTGTTTATCAGGGATGTTAATGCGGGGATAGGGGTTCGTAGAGAATGAATATTGAGAGAACTTGAGAAAGAGGAGATCACTGATGAGACCAAGGAAGAATCAATAGCCTCAAACTGTCGAGATCTACAATAATAGGTGAACGAAAGGTGAGAGACAGCTTGTCAAAATGATCTTCACTGATCCGAAGGAGCTCTCCGATTCAACAGCGCGGAGACAATGCGCGAGGTGGTCCACCCAATTACAATGGCGATCACACAGTAGCGGACTTCTCTGGCAACAGAAACAGCAGCTGGGGAGAATTCGACAAAGTGTTGGATTTCGAGGTTCGAGAGAACGACCGAATGACGAACTCCCACGTCCGAAGCCAGATCCATTCAAAAAGAATCGTCGCAGGTGTCCAAAATCAGTTTCAAGGAGCTCCAACTTTAAAGGGACACACTGTCCTTTGGAGCTCCGCCGTTGTTCATTCTGTCACGTGAAGATTTTCCCCCAGAATCACCTCCCGCAATGAGCATTTCCATGGACCGCAAGATGATCCTGAATCCTTGAACGCTTAACACTGCTTGATCTAATCTTTTTGACTGCGCATCATGCGCTACAGCTCTAATGGCTGACATTTATCCTTCATTGGCGCAATGCGCAATCGTCGCCACGGCTTTCAAGATTCTACTCTTCCCCGCCTAGTGAGTTTCTACCGTCGCAAGAAAGCTGAGGATGGAGTCAATTGGGAGTCGGCACTGACGGTTCTTTGTAACATTATGCAGCAAATCAACAGACTTCGAAGTGCATCGGAATTGGCTCGCTATCACACACTCGTTGCCGGTTAAGGAGTGGTACTACGAGGTTCGTTGACCTCTCCGCATACTCTACATACATTTGACAATCCGCTGACATGAGAGGATTGTCAACAAGAAAACATCGGAATGGACTCTCGACTATCCGCCCTTTTTTGCAGCTTTCGAATGGCTTCTTTCGCACGTGGCTCGCTTTGTGGATCCCGCGATGTTGGTCGTTGAGAATCTCAAGTATGATTCATGGCAGACCGTTTATTTTCAGAGAGCTACTGTAATTTTTACTGAGCTTGTCTTGCTATATGCTCTGAACCGGTGTGCAGCGGTCTCAATATTCTTAGTTGAAGAGTTAGGGACTAATGGAGGCAATCATAGATTCATCAAATCCGCGCCTCAAGCCAACAAGCACCTTGCGCATATTGCGAGTCTTTCGATCTTTTTGTCACCTGGGCTGCTCATCATTGACCACATTCATTTCCAATACAACGGCTTTTTGTACGGAGTTCTCGTCCTGTCGATTGTGCTGGCGCGCAAGCAATCGACCCTACTCTACAGTGGTATCTTGTTCGCAGTCCTGCTGTGCTTGAAGCACATCTACCTTTACCTTTCGTTAGCCTACTTTGTTTACCTGCTGAGAGCCTACTGTCTCGATCCGAAGTCTGTCTTTCGACCAAGGTTCGGCAATATCTTGAAACTCGGCTTGAGTGTCATTGGTGTATTCGGCATAGCTTTTGGCCCGTTCGCTCATTGGAACCAGCTGCTCCAACTGAAGGACAGGCTATTTCCCTTCTCGAGAGGGCTGTGCCATGCTTACTGGGCGCCGAACATCTGGGCAATGTATTCTTTCGCAGATCGCGTGCTAATTCCGCGTGAGTACAATCATTCCTTGACTGCATCTGTGCAGCTTTACTCACCATAACAGTCGCTCCACGCCTGGGCCTCCCAATCAACCATGAGGCTTTGACCAGCGTCACGCGCGGTCTTGTCGGAGATACATCCTTCGCCATTCTTCCAGAGATCACAAAGGAACAAACATTTGCGCTGACGTTCTTGTTCCAATTGGTAAGCACTTCCTACACCTGCTCGACACTCGATATCAGTAACCTAACCGGCGAGTAGCTCCCCCTGATAAAACTCTGGCTTCGTCCGGATTGGAACACCTTCGTTGGTGCTATCACTCTATGCGGTTACGCTTCATTCTTGTTTGGCTGGCACGTTCATGAGAAAGCTGTTCTCCTGATCATCATTCCATTCAGCTTGATAGCGCTCAAGGACCGACGCTACTTCAGCGCATTCCGACCCCTCGCGGTGGCAGGACACGTTTCACTATTCCCACTGCTTTTCACGG